ATTGCGTCAAAATTAAAGAAACGAGGCTTATTGTTGCAGAGCGTGCGCGCGAGCGCCGTCTCTAGCCCGGGGTGGACGCCGCCGGGAGGGTAGGCCGTACGCCGCCACCCGCGCGCGGGCTCTGCCTACCTGCCGGGCGGCCGCCGAGGGCCGAGAGGGCCCGCCACCAGAGCCCTGCAGCGAGCGGGCATCGGATGCCTACATGGCGTCCGAAAGCGGATTGGAGTGAGAGGGAGCCATGGTGAGGCGCGAGCTTCTCACTCGCACTATCGCTTTCGGACGCCATGTAGGCATCCGAAGCACGCTCGCTGCAAGACTCTGCCCGCCAAGCGCCGTAATGGGCTGCGGTGACGAAAGGGCTGTAACTCGCACTTTGCGCGCAAACACTGCGTGTGCGCATTTCCCCATCTGCTTAAGCCTCCCGGGAGCAGCAGCGAGCCACTTGGCCGGCGGCGAGGCCTGAGCCCACCCAGCAGCTTGGCCGGGCAGCCGGCCGGGCGAGGTAAGCCTGTCCAGCAGCAATGCCCGGCTGGTCGAACATAACTCATAAGTAGCGACACGGTGGCGAGGGTAAAGTAGCTCTGCAATCTGCAGGAGCTGCAGCAGCAGCACCGAGCAGGGCGCCAGTCGGTTTTGCCGTATGGCCTCGCGTATGCCATACTGTACCGACATTCTGCGAACCGCAACAATTGCACGGCTGCACGCGATTGCTCATCGGACGGCGTTCTTCCTGTTAGCAAACCATTGCGACCGTAGCGAAAAATATAGAGAGTGAGGAGGGAGGGGGGGGGGCTTTACCCTCTGGCAGAGACAGTTTTTCGGAGACTGTCTGAAAAGGTTTGAGCCACCCTCGTAACAGTGCGATAACCCTCGACGGCTGCTGCAGTGTAAATGGGAAGGTACAATTTTGTATGTAGCTCAGGTACAAAACTTGTATACTAATGTCTATCCGATTTGAAAGTGCTCAGAGACACATCCAAGCCGCAGGCACATGAAAATTGTCCCTCCCACATTTTAGCGCGCGTGTCCCAAGTAAAATGTCATTTCGGTGTGGAATCCACGGAGAGAAAGGGCGCGTCGCGCCGTTATTGATATGGACTAGGCTGTTACGGCCTCCCGCTCATCCCTGGAGCAGACCCACGCAGTCATTCCCTATGATTGCCCGCAGGGAAATTCCACAGAACTCCCACCTGCTGGCTGGTGGGCGGAGGATGGTGGGCGGAGGATGGTGGGCGGAGGGTGGTTGGCCCGCCTGGCTGCGCCGCGCGATCGACAACTTTTATCATTAACGTTCCGCGGGAGTAAGTGACTGCGAGATCGGTTTGCAATTTGTGCGAGATGGGAAGGGCTGCTGCGGGGGAGGTCACGGGAGGCCATGTGGGACGCAGGGGGGACGCG